CGGGGGTCTGTGGGGGTCCAGCGGGCCCGGGGGTCTGTGGGAGTCAGCGGGCCTTCTCTGGCAGAAGGCTCGCTGTGGTTGTGATGCGGGGCTCGTGGGGCCAAGGAAGCGTTGTGGATGGTTTCTGTGGCGGAGGCCGCTCCACCTGGCTCCCCGCGCTGCCGTCCTGGTTACGCGGGAAGGGCTGTGGGGTGTGAGCAGTTTTCGGTGGAGCCTACAGGGCCTGGGTAACTCCTACACAGGGTATGCTGCCGCTAAAGCTGTGGCGGTTGTGTCCCTTAAGAACAGGCTAATAGTGTAAAGCCTGGAAGTGAAAGGTTGAGATCTACAGAGACGAAAGTCTCCATTTATTTTTTTTTAGGTGTTAGGGTTTGTGTTTTAGCTTTTATGTAAGCTGCTAGCCTTACTGTGTGGTTTGGAGCTCTTTCTATCTTTTGTTGTGCTGCCTGGCAGCACCACGGGCTGTGTGTGTGCTGTGGCCGTGCTCTGCTGTGTGGGCCCCTGGGGGTCCCCTTCTTTTAGGGTGTCTATGGCTCTAAATTCTATTGCCACGGTTAGCAGGCTTATAATAACGCATGCTAGGACACGAGTACTTTTTAGTGCCTGTAGCCGGACAGTATAGTTGTTCACACCAAAATAACTTCAGTATTTACAGAGCTATGTGACTCCAGGTGGAGGCAGATAAACAGTCCGCATCTTGGGCTTTGCGCCCTATAATGGCTTGAATTTCACTGTTCCGACCTCTGGGCTGTGTGTATACTTATAGTTCTGGCTTTGTGTACACAGCTTAATGTTTGCCTTTTGCTTCTTAAGGAAAAAGATACAGAATGAGAGCATAATCTTGACAAATCACGCTTTAAGCTTAGCTTTAAAGCAACTTAAATGTCAGCCATCTAACAAATATGTTTTCGTTAAAGAACTGATAAGAGTTTTGCAGTGTGGCATTGTGTAGCTGATGAATAAGACTTCCAGATCCTGACGGCACAGGTATGTTTCTTTCCAGCCGGAGCTTATTCACAAGTCAGTCTTTGTTCAAGCCACGATGATACTTCAGGCCAAGTTTTTCCTGGTTTTCATACAGATGCTAGGCCAAAAAAAAATTAGATTAGAAGAAACCAAAATAAACATTGATGCTTAGTTTATGTATTACTTTATCTCATTTGCAGCCTGGTGAAATTTGTCGACCTGCTTAAAGTTGTGTCTGGCTTTTACAGCCCAGATAGGAAGACTGAGCCCTCAAGTGTTTTGACACTGAAATACAGACATATCTCAGATTTTAAGCTGGGAGAAATTGAAATGGGACTGCATTACAGGCAGGAGACCAACACTCCACCTGAGCAAAAGGGTTTTAACCTGTCCTACTCTACCCATTTCTTTGATGAACACTGCGTTCTCTCTATTAGTATCTAGTAAAACAATTTTTATGTTTTGCTGTAGCTTAGACATGGCAATGCAGCAGTAGAAGACCCTTGAATTGTTGTGTCCAAAGCTTCAAAATGTAGGAAGTCTTATGGTAATTGTCTGATTGCTGGATCCCTTGCTGCTATAGTTTATTAATAATCACCCAGCGGGTTACTTTAAACTTGATCTGTAAGAAAAACCTGCCACATCACATCTATACTATCACAGGAAAAACGAATAGGAGAGTAAAGTGCGGAAAAAATATATTAGTATTTTAAAATAAAATTCCCTTTTTAAAGGTTATTTTGAAATTTGTCTACTATCAACACTGAATCATTTTACTTTTATTTTCTGTAGCAAATTTTCAATTAGTAAAATGTACAAAAATAAGTAAATTATGGATTAATAAATTAATTGCTGAGCTGTAAAATTACTAAAAAACAATACTTTAACTTGTACTCTGAGGTTTTCTAATATACTAGTGCCCCTTTAATAGCTTAAAATTTTCTGTTAATCTTTGGAATGTCTTGGAACTGTGTCTTGTGTCAAGCTATATTGTGTTATCTTAATAACACCAAGTATTTGTCAAGTACTGCAGAGATAACTGTGACATTCTTTATGTTACATGATCAAAGAGCACAAAATAGTTTTATTTTATCTTGCAGAATGGAACCAACTTTGGATAATGAGAAGTTTTGCAGACCATCCTATATTGCTAGCATTGAGCCATCTCCAAGAGCAGGACCAGTAAGTGTAGAAGATATTAAAACAGACCTTTCCTCTGAATTTTCTTTGGTTTCTTCAGGCTCCGACACAAGCCAGGTAAGAAAACTTTACTGTTTGGATATTTATTTTTTAAAACATAAGCTTAGTTATTTCATAGATAAGAATAGTCAGAATTTTACAGAGAAGATGAAAAGCTTCTTTGGGTTTTTTTTCGTTTGAAATAGATGCATAAGATTTAGACGGAGTTGTGTGGCACAGCATTAATGACCTATTGGGCATATCAGCTTTCTGTGAATGAGGCCGATTGCCAGTTCATAGAACATTTTTGTTGGCCTGAATGCAGTGTTTACATAAATGTGCTGCAAGATTAACTTATCGCAGCAAGCTTCTGCAGGTCCTTAAGCACATGTAAAAGCTGATTTAGTGAAGTAGTATTGATTCCCATGTTATCAAATAAGTCTGTTCAAAACAGCCTGATGAAATAAAACAGTTTTCATGTGCTAATTGTCAAGAAAATAACGAAATTTCTAACTGTTTTAATTTTTTTTTTTTTTTTAAGAGGAGCAGTTTGGAGTCTAAGGGACACATACAAGTTTGCCTACGTATCAGGCCATTCACATCACTGGAAAGAGAAAATGGATCACAGGTGTGACATTTATTTAGTTTAAAAATATTTAAAATTCGTTTTGTGGGGTTTTTTTGTTTGTTTTTCCTGTGACCTGAGCTCTTTATAGTCTCTTCATGCCTGCAGTGTTTGTTTCCTTTTAACAGGACTGTGTTTCACTTGAAGACTCAACAAACATTGTACTGAAACCCCCCCAACACTATTTGAATCGACTGAGTGAAAAAGCTTCAGGACCAATGTTACAGAAGTTCACTTTTTCACAAGTAAATGACTTGCATTTAAATGTTTTTAAATTATTTCTGGTACAGGTTGTTTTAACTTATATTATTGAATACCAAGCAAACTGTATTTTTTAACTTTATAGTTTTTAAGATTATAAACTAACAGAATTTTTAAAAGATTCTTTAAAAGTCTCTAATAATTGCTCCAAATATGTGAATATTTCTTGGTGATACTCAGGTGTTTGGACCTGAAACAACCCAAGAGGAATTCTTTGAAGGTACCATGAAGCAACCAGTGCAAGATTTCCTAGATGGATATAATCGTCTTGTTTTTACATATGGTGTAACAAATGCTGGGAAAACTTACACTTTCCAAGGTAAAAGTCAAAATGAGTTCTTCTTGCAACCACTTTCTTTATTTTTTTTTAAAGTAAGGATTACTTCTAGTAGAAACATAACTTCTTCCTTCATTTAAAATGTCGTCTCTATCCATTTGCTTCTCTTGAATATTAATAGTCTTCTAAAATCTCCTTCCATAATAAATTTAACTGCCAGCGGACAGTGACTACCTGAGTTAACCTAAACACAGTCATATTACTTTGTAAGGCTCTATAGTTTCAACTAGGTATGTGTGATCTTACTACTTTTCTCCAAGCATCTCGTACCCCAGGAATGAGGGAGAGTTGGAAAAAATATATTTCTATATAACAGGTTTTGAAAAGTCTAAGTCACTCCACACCAGACTAGCATTTTCTGGAGTTTTATTATTATAAAAGTTATATTCGCAAATAAGAAATAATATTTGAGTATTTTAATTAATATAGATAGAGAATAAATTTTTTGAAGCATTTTAGTTACTATTTTCATATATTTCTGTCTTGGCTAGAGTTCACAAGTTTAATAATAACCTAGGAAGCCTTGTCTCCTGGTTCACTATTTCTGTTCTGTTAAAGCTTCGTATCCTTTGTGATCAGATGATGTCATTCTTCAGTTATTTTTCAAAGTATTTTAACAAATGTGGTGATTTGATTCACATTGAAAATGTTTCTCCTATAATTAAATGACAAATCTTGATGCAATACCAGTTATTTTATACAAATAGTAGAAGGACAATGAGTTGTGTCTCTTGAAACTGATCTTTATTCAAGAGACGTTATTTTCTAAGCAATCTTCTGTTAGTTGGATTATAATTAAAGATTACTGCCAGAACTTCTGGTTATCATTTGTCTGGGGCAAGAATGGGATGTTCTCTTCTGTCCTAATGAAGGTAAATCACAAAACCCAAACAATTTCATGTGTGTACAGTCCCCTGAGCTTGATTAGTTGGGGGTATATTGTGTGGGGTTTCAAGAATTTTTGATTGACACTTTTTAGACTAGAAGCTTTTTTGTGGTATTATATTTTTAGGACTTTGTATCTATAACCGTATCTTTGTATCTATAACAGTAGTTATAGATATAATACCATGAACGTAGACACAGCAGAATGTTGCCTGTTGGGCACCATGATTTACTCTTCTGTGGTTGCACTTTAGCATTACATGGGAGCCTGTATTCAGTCAATGGCAAAGAACCGAAGTGAAGGATAAAACAGGTTTTTAGGACTTTTCCTTGCTCACCAGTGACTGTTCCTTTGTGTTAGGTTGAGTTACAAATGGCATTGTACTAAAGAAAAAAGTATTAGAGAGGATATGAGGAGCACCAAATGTAATGTAAGAGTACTTGAGTTTAATGTGGTATTTGGCTACTAGCTAGGGGTATGAGTACCAACCAATTTTATCTAAGTTCTGACTTAGGTGATGCAGCTAGTGCTCTGAGTATTAAATGCCCATCTCTCTCAAAAGCAAGAGAAATTATCACCCTGAGACAGGATAGTAGTTCCTCTTTCATATTTCCCTTTTCTCTGGTTTAGAAATCAAATGTAAGTGAACCCCTTTTAAACTAGCATTTGGATCCAGAACAATCAAGTATGCACTGAGGCTTTTATTTGACTCCTTGTCTTTTAGGGACAAAAGTAATATATTCAGAGAAAAGGGTCTGGGATAGGGAACGGAGTAAGTCTTTGCAAGGCTTCTACAAACTGTTTTGGAGGTTCTGTGGAATTAGTGCAGGACTGCAGCAGAGATCGTTCATGAGTTTTATTTCAAGATTACTTCCTTGAGAGAGTGAAGGCAGTTTATGAAACACAGTTGAAAAATTGCAAATATTTATGAAATGTCTGTTGGTCGTGGGGTTTTTTTTGGGTTTTTTTTTATTTTCCCTTAAGGCTAAGCTTAACAAAATACTCCAGGAGTTTTTGTTTTATGTTATATCCATTACTGATACAGAGCATGAACTGTTCCTGAAAGCCAAATACTTTTCAAAACTCTTTTGATATTTGTCACCTTGAGAGTACAAAGAAAACTCCTTCACTGCTGTAAGTTGTCTTCAAACTCTTAATGTGTGCCTGGAGATTTATATTATCTTTCTGTCCTCATTTATCTGTATACCTTGTAGTAACTAGATTTTTCTTTTGTATGTTCTTTCAGGGACAGAAGATGATGTTGGTATTCTGCCAAGGACTATGGATATGTTGTTTAAAAGTATTCAAGGAAAGTTGTACACAGCAATGGATCTCAAGCCTTATCGATGTAGAGATTATATAAAACTGACTGTAAACCAAGTGAGAGAAGAAACTGCTATTAAAAATTCATTACTTCGTCTAATAAAAGAGGTAGAGGAGAATTTCTTTCTATATTGCTGAGTACCTGTGTCTTTAGATAGCTCCATGTTCTTCATTTGCAGTAGGAAGAGACTGGGTGTATTTGACCATGGATGTGTCTATTTGCTGGCAGCCAACCATTCATATTAGCAGTAAAGTCAGCAGTTAGAGCTGATGGACCCTTTTCCTGGGGATTTTTGTCTTGTGGCTCAATACTTCATGGGCATGTAAACTCTAAGCTTTTTTTTTTTTTGGTGCCTCTAGCTTGGGAACCTGATAATTTATCCTTTGGGATTACTGGTGCGTAATAAGAACTGAATGTAAATAGTCCCTTCTTTATCTGCGAGAATGCTAGTAGGTCTGATCCTTTAAAGAACATACTGTCTTCCAGGATACTTAAAAGAAATTAATAGTTTTGGGGTTGTTGCCCTTTCAGTTGGATAAATATCCTAAAAAGAAGCAAAAATATGTTTGAAGCAGCAGATATAAAGCCAGTAGACTTAAAGGCTTGAATAAAAGATAGGTTTTTGCTGGGCTTTTTTTCTTTTTGAGCAGTCCAGAAATACACTCCAGTTTTAGGAGCTGAGTGGAATTCTAAAGCTGTTTAATTCAATTACAGTTATGTGGAATTTGTGTTTTGTGTAACCATGCCTTTTTCTTGGTGTCTTCTAATTCTGAAATAAGTGGAATAATGTAAAATAAAACTGAGCATATGCAAGGATTTGGAACTAGAAAGGTTTGGAGGTTTTTTGTGTTTTTTTTATTACAAAAAGAATTGAGCACTTCCATTGTGCTATGCTAGGTTGTAAGAGCTAGTGTTGAAAGGAAAAAGGAACGTATTTGTTGCCTTGATTTTTATCTGTTGGTTAACTGGGCTCCAGTGTGGAAGGTAGGTGGCAGCAAAATTCTGTGACTCCACTTCAGAAGCACAGGAGTAAGTTAAATCCAGCTCTGTCAGCCTTCAGAAGGGACTTCAGAAAAACCTTGTTTGTGTTTGAATGCACTTTCTGGTTTCTGAAGCTTTTTATAAGAACAACACCCAATTTTGACAGCAAATTTGTGGGCTTTGCATCTACTGCAATAGATGTTTGTGTGGCTGTTTTAGATTTTAGATATGTAAAACCTAATACCTAAAATTTTTATTTGAAAAATTTATGAAATACACCCTTGACAGAAGACTAAAAAACCTGAACCAAACCATACCTGCTTTTTATTTCATATTAGTTCTCTTAAGTATACTTATTTCAGTAGATGGATTTCATTTATTTGAGCTCTTCCACTTGCAGTTCTGTGTCTGAAAAAACCTAACTAACCAAAACTAAGACGGAGAAGGGAGTGTATGTATGAAGCTCCTAAGCTCTAGCTATAGTTATTTGGTTTACTTTTTTTTAATAGCAAAAGAAAATTGTCTTTCTCTTACTAAAACCTGGACTTCATTTCAACTGTATCATTTATTTCAAACATGTGTCATGAAGCAATAAGTTGCTTATTTCAGTTTTGAAGTGAATGAGTGTTCTTCATTCACCTCTATTTCCAAGGGTTAGCCAAGTAAGCTGGAAAAATATAGAATCCAATATTAGCAAAATACCAATAATAAAAGAATTCAGAGTTACCTGGATTTACCAGGTTAAGACTAATGTTTAAACTGCAACTAGAGTCCTGAAATCATCCTCTTGAATCACCCTGTTTATGTGGAGGGTTCCTACCCCTCTAGTTTTCTGTGGCTAGACTGTTTCCAAGTCAGCAAGCTGACATGCTGTATTCTGATGGGAATTGATGTTGAGTTCTGAAGGGAAGTGGAAGAGGCGAGTATGAGATAAGAACAATCCTGTCAATAGCAGTGTGTAGGTGCATTGAACTGGACCTGGTGTGTAACCAGAATCTTTCCATTGGTAAATTGCAACCATTGCCGTATTCCCATCTAGTAATGCAATAGAGCTGTTAGAAATAGCTTGTGCTGCAACAATATGTTGTTAAGTTTGTTTTCTTTTCCAGGTAGACCACCAGATTAACACTAGCAACAAAGCACCTATGGATTCTAAGGGTATGTTTTAAATAAAAGTTTTGCACTTAAAACTGGCAAATAAGCCTTCTTAAGGTCAATAACTGACTTCTGGCCTATGTTAATTAAATTACTTCTTGTCAATTTCATATGCTTGTGAATTGGATAGTGAGCAAGTAATCTGGGCAGCAAGCATAAGGATAAAATGGTTAGAAGAATATATGAGCAGGCATTAAATGATCTGAAGTTATAGCAAAGAAAAGTAATTCTACTTTTGCTGTGGATCCTGACAGGTTTTAGAGTACCTCTGTGTAATTACTTAATGAACTTAATTCTAGCATTTAAAAAAACTACCAAAATACTAGGTTTACTTTAAAAAGTCAAAATGAAGGTCTTGTCAGTTTAGTTTTGTCTTCTAAAAATGTTGAAGAGATTTGACTAATTCTAACCAAGCTTTATGTGGTTGATAGAATTTAAAAGTGGAAAAGGAAGGAAACAGTAAGCAGGATTTTAGGTTTTGAGAGTTTTTTAAAGGTTTGTTGTATCAATTTTTATTTATTAATTTTTAAATTAAACTCAACTTACTAGGTTTATATTGGTTTGTAATGTTTTGTACTTGGCAGACTTGGAAGATATCTCAAAAGACTCGGAACAATCTATCACAACTGCAAGAAATTACATCAAGTTTTCTGTTTGGGTTTCATTTTTTGAGATTTACAATGAATGTTTTTACGATCTACTGATTCCTATATCAAATGACAAGAAGAGAAAAACACTCCGCCTTGCACAAGATATCAAGGGATGTTCTTTTGTAAAAGGTGAATAGAATACATTGCAGATTGCCAAATGTCATTTGAAAAGTGGGTTTACCTGTAATGATGTTGAGATTAGAAAACTCAGTAACAGAATTATTACAATCTACACACATTAGTATCTCTACCTTTATAACTGTTTTAACTTTACTCTTGACTGGAACTGTTAAAAGCCTCTACACTCCACTGCCTTGATATTTCTTTGAAATGGGAGAAATATTGAAAACAACTGACAAATTTTTTAGTGGTTTGCTTTTTTCTATTTTCTTGAAGAGGCCAGTAGTTTTTAACATAATTAGCTCAACCATTTTTTAGATTTTTGTTTCTGGGATTTTTTTTTCAGTATTCTCTGTAAAGAAGCAGACTTCAGACATATGGTCATCATATTGTAGGCAAAATTCTTCCAATTTTTTTCAGTTAAGTTGATGGCCTGGAAAGATAGCCAAATGACTACCCCTTCTACTAGTAAAACTAGTATGTTTCTATGCCTCAGATAAATGTAGTGTCCTTGTTCTGCATACATTATCCCCAAAATACTTATTTTGGTAATGTTATCTAAAAAATTATCATATTTCTTCTTCCTGAAGATCTGCAGTGGATTCAGATTTCTGACTCTAAAGAAGCTTTTAAACTTCTAAAACTGGGATTGAAACACCAGAGTATTGCAAGCACAAAACTAAATAATAGTTCCAGCAGAAGGTAAGAAACATTTTGAATATCATTGGCCATAGAATGGTGGGTGGGAGGAAGGAGAAAGTAAAACATGGCTTATGGTTGTTAGGAAGGGAAGAGACTTTAACAAGGTTTAGATTTCTAGGTTTCAGTTTTGGTGTCCTTAAGCAGCATGTGACACAATGGTTTAAGCCAAAGGGGTTCAATCCTTCAGTAGGATGAACATGTACTAAAACTCACAGTATTATATCAAATACTGAACAAAAGCACTTAACTTTATTCCATCTAAATGTCTGAGGAAAAAGCAAAATACATGCTGCATAAATATCTCTGTAGAAGTTTGTATGGTTGTGTATGCTTAAATGTATTGACAGATCAAACAATATTTCGAAGAGATGTTGTGGAGGCTAAAAATATTTTGAAAGTATTTATCTACGTTATCACCTCTCTGCTGATTTCAATTTCTCCTTTTAGTCACAGCATATTCACAGTTAAAGTACTAAAAATTGAAGATTCAGGAACACCAACAGTGACTCGTGTCAATGAGTAAGTTCAGAATAGTCTGTCTCTTGTCATGCTGCAGTTGTCAATCACCTTCCATGTTGATGCGTTGGTACTGCACCCAGTTCTCACTGGCAGAGCCTCCTGCATGGATGGTGGCTCCCCACTTCCACCCTCATTCAGCCTCAAGCCATCAGGTGTCAATGCTGTTCCGGCTTGTCACCTCTGCTCAGCACAAGGTTTTGCCCGAACTACTTTACTCCTGAACTCATGCTAGTCCTCAGAAGGAAGAGGACGAAGAGGTGTTGGGTGGCATAGAATGTGAAGTATGTTGGGCAAGTATTAGCAGAAAATAGAAGGAAATTTGATTAGGGAAACAAACTTGAGAGGGATAAGGAAAAGTGATCATTTTTAAAAGCAGATAATTTGTGCATCTTTAAGGTAAATTCAGTGATTTTTCGTTGTCTGCTTTCAGATTGTCATTATGTGATCTTGCTGGTTCTGAGAGATATACCAAAACCCGCAATGAGGGTGACAGATTGAAAGAGAGTGGGAACATAAATACCTCTCTCCTGACTCTAGGCAAGTGTATTAATGCACTCAAGAACTGTCAGCAGTCAAAGTAAGTCCTTCTTTGAAATGTCAAGTGGATGTGTTTTTTAGGTATTGCCTACAATGTATAAAAGCTATTGTTTAAAATACACAATAGTAACTCTTAAATTTTTGGTAGAAGAAAATATATAGATTTGATGTCTATACTGTAGTCTTGTTGATGTACCAAAGTTATCTGTAAACTTGCCTTGTTTTGCTTTTTAATTAAATCACTTAAATTATAACATCCTTTAAACATGCTGTTGTTTATGTTAGTGATTTTACTTACTTGTTCTGAGCTTGGCTTATCAAACAAACTTTGGAATAAATTTAAATTTAAGTTTATATTTTAAACACCCTTGTCACTAGTGCCATAGTAAAAGTGAAACTTTCAAGTCTTCAGGCTGAATAGTTCTTACACTGACTGGAATTTACTAAACTTCTGATCGTCTGTTCATCTTTTAAAGGTTGCAGCAGCACGTACCCTTTCGGGAAAGTAAGTTAACTCATTTCCTTCAAGGATTTTTCAGTGGAAAGGGGAAGGTGTACATGATAGTAAACATCAGCAAATGTGCATCAGCATATGAGGAAACACTCAATGTGCTGAAGTTCTCAGCCATTGCACAAAAAGTAAGTGTGTTGTAGTCTATCTTGTTGATCAGTAACTTCGATTTGCTTTAAAGTGTAGGTTCTCTTACTTTTAGGAATATTGATATAGTTACTGGATTTTTGTCTCGTACTGCAATTCTATTTCTGTTACACTGGATTGAGCTTTATCTCCTACAGCTTTTAAAAAGACTTTATTGGAATTTTTTGTTTTCTTTGGAGTGTGGGGGTGGAAGCATCTACTGAAAATTTGTAATTCCTATGAAACATCTAGCCTAATAAGAAACTTATTATATTTGGGAGAATTTCCCTGAGATCTGGATAAATTTCTTCTGCAGATACAACATGCTCTCACTTCTAGCTGTCCCATATACTACTGCTATCTTAACTTGGAATATTGCTCATCTGAAGTACTGATAAAATAGATTGAGCACCATAGAGTGTGAAAGGTCATCTTTATGTTCACAAAGGCTTCAGTGCGAAGGTGGAAGCAGAGTCAGTAGGAGTAAGCGCAGTGATGTAACTTTGGCAAAGTTAGAAGATGTAAGTGTGGAGGATCAGTGCTGTAGCTTTAATGGAAGCTATGAAAGTTTTGTTGACAGTTAAGCCTATGCCTTTGGAATTTGGGCAGGTTAAGTACAATGCCCGAAGGAGCAGACTGTAGTGATTATAGAGCTGTTAAAGAAATAGATTTTATGTAATGCAACTGGAAACTCCAAGTACAGGAAATGGATAGTCTGTTGCTGTCTCTTGTAGGTTATCCAGTCAGTGAAACTTGGTGTTCCTGGGATCCAAAGAAGCGTTAGGCTATAATGTGGCAACTTTGTACTCTAGCTGGAAACTGGTCTAAGTAGTGACTCTGAACAAAGGATAGATAAGCTGGGAGAGTGCTCTGCTCAGGAGACCTACAGGAGAATGTAGCAGGTCTTCAGAGTGCCAATGGAGCTTTAAAAAATACCAATAACTTTTTGTTCTTGACTTTTCTGGGTAGGTTTTAGTTATGGACACATCTATTCTTCCCCAAGATCAGTCATTTAGCCAGAAATTGGCAGGAGAATCGTCACTGCTTAATGTCAATAAACTGCCAATCCCAAGGAAAAGAGCTACGATCCTATGGGACAGAACCTTGGAAGATGTGTTTGAAGATGAAGATGCTGAGATGGAGGAACAGCCCAGTACGTCAAGAGAAGAAGCAGTGCAGGAAAATGAAGGAAATGAAGTTGTTATTGCGAAAGAAAAATATACGGTATCTGCCAGGGCTACTTAAAGAATTAGTATAGCATGGAGCCTCAAAGCAATGTATTCTTCTCATTTCCTCCATCTCACTTTTTTTTTTTTTTTCCATCTCTCTTCTCTCCTCATTGCCTTATTCTACCTAAATCCAGTGTTTGGAACTACAAGTGGGATTACTTATGCCTCGGTGCTTATTGTGGGAAAATTGCAGAAGGTGTCAAAGTATAAACTGAGCACTAAGAATTGTAGATTTGGCTTTCTTTCTTTTGGTATCCTATGGTCAATACACAGAAGATACTACCTGTTTTTTAGCAATACAAGATTGTTCCTTTGTTATTTTATGCACAAGAAAACTCTGGACACTGTTCTTTAAGCAACAGTGATTTTAGTCATTTCTGGGGAAGACAAGGATTAGGGGAACAGAGGACTAGAGACCATTTAGTGGGGGTTTCATTAATACCCAAAAAGGGGCATCTGGAGAAACAAGACCAAATTCTGTGGATCTTAAGCCTATCTTTATAACAAAAATTCTAAAAGTTATCTTTAAATTTGGTGTTCTTTGGAAATATACACTCTCTGCAAACCTGTGTTGGTACCAAACAGGTAGTGTAATCTACTCATAAATCCTTCTGTTTATGAATAAGCTAATAAAAGAACTGGAAAAACTTTCCAGCTGCAGAGTTAAGTGCTGTAGTGTTTGAGGACTCGCTCGTGGGAAAGTGTTTCTTTGTAAAAAGTATAATATTAATTGTGATTCTAGATGTTGGTGAATCTGGTAGAAGAGCTGAAGAACAGACTTATTACTGAAAAGAAAAATAAGTTACTGCTGGAAATAAAAATTCGTGAAGAAGTAATACAAGAATTTTCTCATTATTTTGCTGATCGAGAAATGGATTTCAAGTAAGTTGGCTTTAAGTGGATTTAAAGTCGCTTGTTAAGAAAGTGAAAGTAAATTTACATATTTCTTTAATCTCTCTTGGTTTTAAGAGACCACAATCTAGCTAGATCTGATCTTCTACTGTATCAATTAATGGGTTGGTTTATGTTTGGATTATGAGCTCAGGAAAAATGCTCTTTAGAAAAGGCTTTGATTTTTCTGTGGGATGGGTAGGAATGTGTGTGTATAATTTGTAAGCAGTGTTTTTTTCGTGTAGAACTCTTTCTAAGGGAAGAGCTGCTTTGGTAAGTTGTAGAAAGAATGACGTTCGTAAATCAAAAATGCTTTTTGTTAAATGCTGTCCGTAATCTGTGTATTTGTATCCCTCTTACTCTGGTGTCTGTGAAATATACTTCTGGTTTAGGGTAGCAGCCTTGTTTTATGTATTGTTTTGTTGTGCCAAAATAAAGAAGACATCATCTTTGTGTATAGGCAACTGTGCTGATAACTTTTTAGCCTCTCTCATGGCTAGCTTTTTTCTGACTTGTTTTTTTCTACTCTAGAGAGTGCCTTTCTCAAGAACGAGCACAGCTTGAAGAAAATTCTGAAAAACGCTTGGAAATCTTCAAGGAACTTGTAAATAATTACACTAAAAATGCAGATGAAAAAACTAAATCACAAGATCGGCCTTGCAGTGAGCAAGCTGGACCTCTGGTATATTTATCTGTCTGCCCCAAATGTCCCTTTTACTAACTACCTGTTACAGTCATGGCATTTCTCAAAAAATGCCAAGGATGGTTTCAAGGAATTGCACACAATGTAACTGTGTCCTCGGCAAGATATATTTATCTTATTTAAGAGATGAGGTTGCTGAGCCTTGGGATTCAGGAATTTTGAGGGTTTTCTGCATTTCTCCAGCAGAAAGTGACAATTATTCCATAAAAAGAAATTGGGGGGAAATCTGCAATTTTTTATGCTATAAAATCTATTGCGTTTAGTGCCTATTTAAAATCTTTGAGGCTGACTTCTTAGGCCTGACCCATGGACTCTACTGGAGTAGTCACAGAGACTTCTCTCTTAGGGCAGTAGTGTTTAAAACTGAAGCAATGAGAAGTATTCATCCACTTAAGCCATACCTAGATTCTTGAGTCTGTCTCTCGAGAGTTTGAAATCCTTTTGTTTAAAAAAAAACAGAAGCAATATGTAAAGTCAGTCTTTTGGGTATAACTTAGTATGATAAATTACCATGGACTTATTTGACCTCACAAACTTTTCCTGCCATATGAAAATTTCAGATGTATTCCTTCAAAAACAGTTTGCTTGCTTTGTTCATTCAATATTCTCATTGGTTTAAAGTAGGCTAACCTTTATAGTAAACTTAGAGGGAATGATTTTGTGGAGATATAAGGGGTAATGTTGCGTCATTAAATGTTATAAAAATAATGTAGCTCTAGCTTGATACTGGAAACTGGCGTGTGAAGGTAGACAGAAACTGGTAATCAGTGCATATGAGCCCACAAGATGGTGTTAAAGTCAGGTTTATAACTGTATTTACATATTAGAATTCCTAACAATCTTTCATATTTTCTGTAGAAATAATGACTTTTGTGCAATTATTTCCCATTTCTGAATTAATATAAATTCTTTCAGAATGAAGACAACAACACAGACACAGGTGCCTACATTGATTTTGGGGGTGTTATTGATTCTCTGCAAAACGATATCACTGATATCAAAAATCAGGCAGAAGCAGCACATCAGTACATTGTATCCTTAGAGGACGCACAGGAAACTATAGGTTACCTTGAAAAACAGCTGGCAAAAGTAACTGCAGAACTAGTTGAGTCCAAGGAAGAGCTGGAAAAGAAAACCAAAGGTAAGCTGGGTCTAAGTGTGATGTGAAAGACGCAAAAAAAAGAAATGACTGAGTACTGTGAAATAAGAATAATTAAAGAATAATAATCTCATTGAGCGAGATTGTGTAACCAAATCATATGTGTAATGGTGGCAATCCCTTGTTTTGTGTATGTTCAGGTTAAACAATTCTATGTGCCTAAGATGAAACTTAAAATTGTCAATTGCAGACTTAAGAATTGTGGCATAAAACATCAAAGTTAGTGATTTCCTTGTGGTTTTGTAATCTCTGTACTTGACATTTTGCTGATGCAGTGTTTTCAGGCTTCATGTGGAACTTTGATGGAGGAAAAACTAGCAGCACCTCATAATGATCTCAAGCAGAGGTGATATGATCTGTGTTTTGAATGGGTTGCGAGGCTCAATTGTCCAGTTCAGAAAATGTAAACAACTTTTGAAATGTTCTTGTATAAGTCAACTGGAAAATAAATGTATTTAAAAATGACTGAAGTACCAGAAGATACAAAGACATGGATTACTGAGTAAACTGTGATGGCTGATTATGTGATGTAGGCTTTTTTCCTGTTACAGGTTTTGAAACACAGAGGATTAAATTGGATGAGTCTGCTGAGCAACTTAAAGCAGCAACTGAGGTAACTTTCTCAAAAAAAACTTATGCAAAATTATTTGCTTTAATACAAAATTCCAATAACTTGGAATGCTATTAGATTAGGTTTTTTTTATATCAGGCATAGTTTAACTGATCTTGCTTCTAAATGCATGGTAGAGTTCAATTTAACACTGAACTTTCTTTTACTTTTTCAAGAAAATGAATATACAAAATGAAAGGATTCAAGAACTGATTGACATTGTGAAGCAAAAAGATGAAACTATTATGAGACTACAAGTTCAGATAACCCGTTCAGAAGAAACCATTAAAGACTATGTAAGTCTTAGACATCTTAATTGTCTTTATACAAAAAAATCTTAATATATGCTTATAATGGACTTTACTTTGGAAAAGTGGATTTTTTTTTTAAATAATTGCTATTTACTTCAAGTGATACCAGGCCAGTTGGCATTGACACTAAAGCCACAGCAAAATGTTAGCAGGGGTGTGTGTAAGTAATGAAACTTTCAGAAGTACTGATCTGAAGTTATTACTGGAGGACTCTAGATGAGACTCTGAAGAGCCATTAGAAAAAAATAACTACCTCAAAACGTGTGGACTTAAAGCAGTGGGAATAGAGGAAGTGCATCACTATCTGAATAAGAGGAAAAAAACAAGGTTTTGCTGCAACAAAAGGTCAATTTTAGTTGAAGTTAGAATTTAAGAATGTAAAAAAAGGTAATAATTGTGTAAGTTAGGGGGAAAAAGAAACTTCACTGACTTTTCCTCCGACAACCCCTATGCACCTTACCCATAAGGTTTTGTAAAAATATTTGTATAGAAAAAGCTGCTAAGCCTTTTAAGCTCTTTAAGCATTCAATTTGTACAACTTCAAAGCAATTGATTCTATTTTAATACAGGAGAACACTTTGACTACCATTAAGAGAAAATTAGCAGAAAAGAACTCCAATGAAGAGGTTGAAAGCAGCCAGTTCAAGGACTGTGAGGGAACTGTATTGGAAGTGGGAAGGAAACGGTGCTTGGAAATTAAGTATACTGCAGAAGAAGAGCCACCCACAAAGAAAGGTAAAATTTCTACCATCACTCAACAGGGGGTCTTCAAAAAAAGCTTGATTACTATTCCAGAACAGAAGAAAAAAGCTGGGAAGCATAAAATTTATGCTCTGAGGAGGAAATCTGCTATGTTAAACTGTAAAGGGAAGTAACTGTTCTCTAAATATAATCTCTTTTGCAAAGGGCCCTATATCATTTACTCCTAAAAGATTTAAATAAAAGTTAGTTTTTTAGACTTTCATTTCTGATGCTTTTTCTTATCTGTGTATGTACCTGCATACCCAGCTGTAGTTCTTAGGCAATTTCTTAACAGTTGTACTAAATTTTCTGTTGCTGGACTTCTGAGAAAGTTGCATGTCCTGCTCAAGTTTTTGAAAATTGCCTAAGCAAGCATCAAAGGTGTCAATGACTTACTGCATGATTGAACAATTAGTATGTGCTGTGAACCTTGACATTTCATTCTGTGTGCATGCTGTGAACACACCAGCTCTGGTCAAGGGTGACAATGCTGGCAAAGGAGAAAAATTAAGCTTCCCACTTGAATGGGAGTAAAATTAAGTCCACAAATGGTGTGTTTTATACAACTCTCATGCTTGGACTTTTAGTCTTTTTGCTGTTCTTGGTTTATCTGTGATCTTATCAAGTGAATAAAATCTATTAATAAGTGAAACTGAACTAAATGGGACTTGTGCAAAATGGTATGTGTAAGAGCCATCTGCCTCTCACTTGACTTCAGGACCCAGCTTGGCTTTGGTATCTCAAAGAATATGGAAAGCATGTGCAAAAGGAAGATGAGAAGCCTTTCCTTTCTATAAAAGAATTATCAAACTCACATGATCACAGAAAAAGAAGGATACAGTGAATAAGCTGAATGTTGGACTATCATTCATTACATTGTGCAGTGAAAGAACAAGGGGATTGCTGTAGTGGAGCAGTTAAGTTTTTGGTTCAAAGAGTTCTAGTAAATGGGGTAACATCAGCCTGGTGTCCAGGCACTAGTGCAGCTCCCCAGAACTCTATAACAGGCCCTCTTCTCTTCGACATCTTCATAAACAGCTTGGATGTAAGACCCAAAACTATCCTAAGTCTTCCAGTGATGATAGCTGTTGATTCCCTTGAAGGCTAGGAAGCCCTGCAGAGATGGATAGACGAATTACAGAGCTGGGCAGCCACCAACCTTTGAAGTTAACTAATACAAGTTTGTAACCCTGGCTTTAAGTACAGACTGGTGAGTGAGAGGCTGGAGAGTTACCCTGCTCTTGTTGATTCTTGAGGGTCCCTTCCAACTCAGGATCTTCTATGATGCCATTAACAAAGCACTTCATGCGGAAAGTATTAAACTTCTGATGTTTGCTGCCCAAGAAGGTGGGAGAGGCAGATAATTCTCAGATTGCAGGCATAGTTAGATAAACTAACAGCCAACAGCTGCATGGATGGATACTGAAAGACTTAAGCAGGGTTATATTGTCTCAATTCTTCAATGTCAAGAAAGGTCCATAGAAAATGGCTAGGCCTGCCAGTAGCAGCAAAAGGAGGTAAAAATATTAGGCTAGGTCATGTGATGCTGTGTCATCCAGTAGGGATTTCTGTTTGTACAACTTTAAGTGTCATTTGAAGCCAAGAATAGGGACTTTGACAAACCATGTGTTAAGACACCTCAGCACCTCTCACTTTCAGTGAAGCTTGCAAAACTCCAGTCCAGTGAGAGGAATATATAGAATTTTGTCTGATCTGTTTTCTTAGGACTATGCAACTGGGCTTTCAGAGAAAATCATTTCCAAATCCAAAATTTTTAATCTTGCAGGATTTAAAAATATGACCTTATATGCTGCAGTAAGGCTGCTGTTGTGGTTGAGCTAGCAGAAGTACTTGATGTATCTCATAATAGGAAAGCTATGGACAAGCAGGTGGAAAGTGTCCTGTCGACTTTCAAAAACCAAAACACTGTTGCTCATGCTTCAGAATGGCCTTTTGTTAGTGATTCAAGTTGACTACACAACTTGTTGGATTTGTTCAGAGGATGTTTCCATGCAGTACATCTCTGCTTAATGGTCCCAAAGTGAAATGACTGCTTAACTCTACCTTACTGTAGGTGCAGCACACACGAGAATCCATAGTATCTCCCTGTCATACGTAGTTGTGATAATCTAGCCCTTGGAGATAGTGAGGCTTTTTTCAATATAGCATGCCTGTTACTAAAGGGACACAATGGGATTCTAAAACACTTGTGTGAAATATAGCTGGAGTCAGTTTTGTAAGGGGATGAAATAGATGTGATTTTAGTTAAAATGGCTCATTACTTTGCGAAAACAGTCTTAAGTTGATAAAACATGGAAATTTTGTTTTGGAATGACATGTTATAAATCTTTCTTGGAGAACTTTACATGTAACATATTAGGTGTAGGCATTAGTAGTTATGCTTTTATCTAGTTTAGAAACCTATTGAATATAGAAGAGAGGAAGGTTCCAAACATAAAGAAAAAAAACAAAAAAAACCCTTTTGCTGGATTTTTAGCTTTTTTTTTTAAAGTAAGGTATTGTAAAGCATGCATAAAACTTCTCAGACAGGTGTATGACATCATTGCTGCCCTAAATGGAGGATGGGTAATTGCTGGCTCTATTTAAAGGGACTGTTGAATCAGTGGAGGTGGAAACTGGTTATCACTGAATGTTACTTAGCTCATAGGTGTTGCAAATACTACTGAAATTAGCTAGATTTTTTCTGCTAGTGGGGCAGAATAGAAGGTTGGAATAGAACTGTAACAAACATTTTTTTAAGTCTTCTGAACACCTCTTTCTGCGAATTATGCCTAGAATCCCAAGAGGAATTTTAGTATATATAAAATGTCTCAGAGGGTTCTAACAACTTCAAGACTCTAAAATACTATGAGAGCGTGGCTTTTAGGTGGTGCTAGTTTTCCACACAGCAATTACAATTTGGTGGTGCTAATGACTTGTTGCTTTTGATTAACTTGAGCCGTATGGGGATTTATTTGGTCATGATGTTGTTTTTGCTTTGTTTTTAGGAGATAAGAGAGAGAGCTGGGAAAACTACTGTCTTGATCTAAAGAGAACTAGTAATTCTGAGACCTACATGGAAATATTAGCACTGAAGGAAAGAACTAAAACCTTGGAAGGTCAGATAGCTGCACTTGAAGAACAATGCCAAGGAGAAAAAAACGAAAAAGAAGAGTTAAATCAGCAGATAGCAAACTTGCATCTCAAATTCTCTGCTTCTGAAGAAAAGGTTTCTGGCTTAAGTGAAGAACTTCAACAATGTCAAGCTAAATATCGGGAGACTGTTTCTGAATTGGACAAACAGAAAACTATAAATAAGGAGCAAGAAGAAAAAATTATTCAGCTAAATAATGAAGTAACATGTGCTAAGCAAAATATAATTGACAAAGTGTCACAAATTAAAACAATGCAGTCCCAGGTAGATGAATTGTATAAATGTCACTCAGAATCTGATGCTGTGGATATCGATTTAGTTAATGTAAAGGATTCCTTAGACCCTCAAAAGGATGAACCAGAGACAGCTCAAATGAGTCCTTTGTCCATGCAGTTCCAAACTGCTTCTACAGCAGATCTGAGACAGGAGAGTTCCTTTCACCAAAGTATTGAAAACATTTGGGAAGAATGCAAAATTATGATTAAGGCTTCCTCACAAAAAAGTCATCGGATTCAACAACTACTCCAACAAGTTGAAGACTTAAAGAAGAGACTTCATGATAGTGAGAATTGCAATAATCAGCTAAAAATAAAATTAAATGAGATTAGAGATCATCAATCTGTAAAGGAAAATGATCTTATGAATCAGTTACAAGAGCAAATGCAGAAGAAAACCCAGAGTTTTGAAAAACAGGCTGCAGAAAATCAGAGAGTAATTGCAGAGCTTCAGGAGAAAGTTACCAGCTATGAGGGAGAAATAAGAGATTTTGAATGCCTATTGGAGGCTTTCAGGACTAAAGATGACAGGATGAAAGAGTTAGAAGAAGAACTAAAAGAAAAGGAATCTACTGTTTTAAATCTAGAAAGTAATACAGTAGCTCTGCAAGAGAAATGTACCAGTGCAGACAAAAAACTGAAAGAACTCAGTGACCAAGAAGCAAATTTGAAGGATGAAGTTGTGCAGTTGATGAGCAGTTTGGAAACCATGAAACATGCTCTTCAGGAAAAGGAGAAAAAGGAGTATGAGCAAATACAGTCTATAGAACTGTAAGTAAATAATAAGATTATTCGTAACCCTTTAAGAATAAAATTAAGTTAATACTTCCTTATGTCAGCATCAGTTTATTTTGACATACCACATTTGCATGTTTATAAACTTGATTACCTAAACTGCTTCTTTGAGAAGTTTCTATACACTACTTGAATTTTATGTTTGGTTATTCTGCTTTTTCTCACCTGTCTGTAAAGTCTTTCAAAAATATACATCTAAATCATGCGGAACTATTGTGCAGAGAAACAGGAGCAAACAATGAAATTAATTATTTGGTGATTTCTAATAGTTTTGTTGCAGACCCTTTCTGAGAGAAATGACACAGTGCAGTATTATATCCTTAACTTGTATAAAAGTAGGACATGTTTTCTTGGGAAAGGACTGAATGGTAAAAGGAAAGGAAGAAAGCAGGGAGAGGGGGGAAGCCCAGGGAGTAACAGATGGTTTTGCTAGCAGCTATTCTAGGTGAAAAATCTACTATAAGACTTGAAGAAATAATGAGTGTAGAGGGTAGAACTATCCTCAGCACCCTCTACTTTTTAAATCTGTAAGAAACAAGAGATGACGTGCAAAAGAGATTATATTTGCTATATGGTAAGGAAATTGCAATTATGTAAGGAAATATGCAATTACATAGCCTTTCTCCTGGCCATGGGTTCTTTAGTGCCATATCTGTGGGTACTGCACATACTCCAAAGTACAGTTTAGCATAAAGGTCTGATGATCCCCAACTCTGTGCTAGTGAAGCTTTGAAAGGATTTCTTTTTGTGAGGCTTTGAATGGTGGTGTCATTTAGGAGACCTGAAAAACATTCCTTTAGTTAGTTTAGAAGTCCAAGATGTCTTACTGGAAGCTCTTTGAAATAAATGTGATTACTTAAAAATAAACCCATCAAACTTATTCTTTACTTTTTAGAACTTGTGATGGCAGGATTTATTGCAATATTATTGGGGTGGGTTTTTTTTCACTTTTCTTTTTATTCATCTTGATACTTACAAGATCTGGGATGTAGTTATCAACTTTAAACTTATTTTAACCCTGGGCTTTTCTAATTTGTAAGGTCACCTAATGATAAAAGTGGTTGCTGTGCTTAATTTCAGAAGTGAATCTGTGCATTTTGTTACTATAGGCTCATACTAATAGATATTGAAAATCCAAATGTAAAATTATAAAGCTTGTCATTGATCTGATAGAGCTGAGACTGTATTTGCAAATAAAACCTGAAAAGAGCCTGAGCTAATATACAAGACTAATGCTATTTATGTTGCTTAATTTCTAACCCAAGGCTACATAAAGATCTTTCTGAAAGCTCTGCCCTTGTACAAAGTTTGAAAAAAGATTTGCAGAGGAAAGAGGAAGAATACACAGATTTGAAAGAGAAATTTTCTGATGCCAAGAAACAAATTCAGCAAGTACAAAAAGAGGTTGGTAACCTTAGGCAAAATGTTTCTTCTAAAAGTTTTGGCTTCTGTTATTAAAACCTGGTTTTACAAATCTCAATCTATGGATATTAAGAGATTCACGATAAGGTTATTTTGAGTGATACATTTAGAGTATCTTTACTTGCACACTACCATCCCCTGAAACTTGATGAAGATGCTATCAAAAATTTAGCTCAAATAAAGGTAGTTGTTTATCTAGATAACTTGGACAGACTGTAAAAGGCTTATAAATAAATGTAAGTTTTGCTTGCTATCTTGTTGCAGGTGTGTACAATGCAAACTCAGGAGAAATCCCTGAGGAAACAAGTTAATGAACTTGAGAAAATTAAAAAGCAGTTTAGTGAAGAATTAGAGTTCAAACAGCGCACAATCCTGCAACTTAAAAAGGTATTTTATTTTATCAAATTTTACCTGTTCTTAATTTTTTTTTAACTAATCTACTAATAAAGCAAGTTTTCCAAGCAACTGGAGAAAGCTTACAGACCTGGGGTAAAAATAAGAGTAGCCAGCTGAAACTAGTTTTAACAGATGAATGAAAAATGTTTAAAGAAATTCTCATGCAAGACTTATTTAAAACAATTTGACAAATGGTCTAGTAAATAAATACTTAATACCTGCAGAGTTTCTGATTAGTGACACTTAGATGTGTTAGTAGGAATGTCTCTTTTTTATTTTTTAAACAGCTGAAATGCTACTTTATACTATACGAAGAACGTACTCATTGGGACTATTTGTCTTAAATGTTTTACTTATTATTTATTAAATTCAAAATGAAGAGATATTAATTTCTAGCATATGTGTTTGTTTCATTCAGTGTGTTTTAATTTCTTTAATTTGCTTTCAATGTGATATTTAGGAGCAGTTGAATAAAGAAAAGCTGGAAGAAATCTCCAAACAGTATGAGAAAACATATAAAGGTCAGAAAAAACTATTATTTCAGAAAGAACTAATATTATTTTTTGTGTGTGTGCAATGACAACATAATGATTACATCATGAGTGATCATGTCAATAACAAATTTGGAGATTGTTGTATATTTATGAGTACCAAGACATTCCAACCTGGACATTAAAATCTCACAGTCAGAAAGTAATTTTTATTGAATTGTTATTAGATATATTTGTAAGCAAAGAAACAGTCTCAGGTTAAGAAGTGTAAGCAGAGAAATTATTTGTGCTAGCATACACAACAGTGTGCTAGTTCATGCTTTTGTGAAAATGGACAACTAAAATAAAACCAAGTAAATCTCAGTATTGAATAAATGAACACCAAGTTTCTGCAGATTTCATGAACGTTTAGTATTTGAACAGTACTTAGTTTCCTATAGCAGTACAAGCCAGAATCTGACATTTAACACCAAAATACACATCTAAGTTAAACTGGTGAGAATAGAATCACTTAAGAATTTAGAATGTGGATAGTTTAGTACAGATGCTCTATTTCCTTGTAATAGAGCTTTTGATCTGAGGGAATGGAGAAATGACTTTTAACTAAGGCAGTTTGGAAGAGAATGGTGGCAACTAGGAGGAGGCTCATCTGTAAATTAATTTTCAAATTTTCAGATCTGTGTGCAAAGGAAAAAATAATTGCAGATATGCGGATGACATTAGAAGAACAAGAACAGACTCAGATTGAACAAGATCAAGTGCTTGAAGCCAAATTAGAAGAGACCAACAGATTAGTTTTGGGTAATCTCTTCATGGAAAGGGAGGAGGGAAGGAAAATTGCTTTGAATGTGTATTGTGATAGCTGCTTTACATTTCTGGTTTTACTTATCAATTGCTATTTACTATTGCTATATTACTAATTGCTATAAGGTGTTACTTTTATTTATAAATAGCAATTTCCTAAAAGCCTTCTGTTGTCTCTGATCACAGCTGATAAATCCAATCAACTTTAGTAGAAGGATGGGAACATGTTCAAATACATATTTAAAATTATACATTATGTAAACTCATTTTGTGTTCTGTGTAGAACTGGAAACATGGAAGCAGAAATGTAGAGAGCTGAATAACCAGTGCAATAGTGACTGGCAGCAAAAGATAAGCAAAAATGAGGAGAAAGCCATAAATGAAAATGAGGAATTAATAAAGCTGCAAAAAGAACTGAAGGTAAAACATAATGATATAATTCATACTGAAATCTAAGGCCATAAGGCCCATTTAGCAGTCTTAAGGGTTTTTTTGTGTCACTGTCTTCAAGAGCCTAGGGCATGATATGGCAAGTCATTACGCTGGTAAAGGAAACGTTTGGAGCATCTTTTCCGTATGGCATCACTGATGCCCCATAGCAGAGTGTACCCTGCCCTATGTTATGCTACTGCTATGCACAGGGCTTCTGTAGCTGCTCTCCTCTTACAGTTATCCTAATCCAGCTCCTGATATCAATCAGTTCCAGGGATCTCTCTTGTCAGTTGATAAATCAAACTCTTTCTCAAGATCTTGTGCTTACTGCATGGCCTTCGTGTAAGGCTAAGGACATTCCTCTAACTCTCCTTGGATTAGAAAGTAGACTTATTTTCTAAGCCAACTTCACAGGTGCTTCCTGTCTTATGTGGCAGAATGTCTGACAAGAGGTTTGATTGTGATAGGAAAGGAGATGAAGTTGCTGTGGATTGAAGTGACATTCTTAGGTACATGCTGTCTCTGCCTACCATTCAAACGGTACTGCACTGTTTCACTCTTGAAGCAGAGATTAGTTTTCTAACATGTCCTTTAAGGCCACATAAAAGCTTGGGGGTTTGTAAGTCAGAAGTGTCTGTTTACCATTACTTTTGACATATGTGTCTGTGACTGACCCAGAATGCTTTGAGGGAAAAAAACTATTCCATGAAGATGTGCTTGTCTGAATAAGAAATGCTGAAAATTGATCATTTTTTGCAATACAGAAGAACAAAGGAGTACTTGTATCTGGGAGTATGCTAGAGTAAAACTGTGCTACTGTTTCTGTTATGTTTTTGAAATTAATCAATTCAATGGTATTCTGAATTTTAACTCTTTTTTTTTTTTTTTTCCTCTCTACTTACGATTTTATTTCTGGTTTCATCAAATTAGGAAAATGAGGCAAAGTATCAAACTGATAGAAAAAAGTGGCTTGAGGAAAAAATGGGACTCATAAATCAAGTGAAAGAAGCTGAGAACCATCGCAACAGGGAAATGAGAAAGTTTGTGGAGGATAGAGAACACCACGTAAAGCAACAAGCAGAAATTGTAAGTGACTTTGTCTCAGCAGTGTCTTTAGTACAGAGTAAATCATGTGCCGAGTTGAACAGTAGGGGTACTTGAGAGTACCTGGCCTTAGTCAGGTCCCTTACCTTGTCATGTGACAAAGCCTAGATGAGATGTTCTCAATATGAAAAAGGAAGAATAGGAGGATCATAAAATGAAAAATCTTAGCACATAATGGAAGTTAACATGCGTGTTCCTTCCTGTTCTATAACGGCCATCTCACTATGAAGTCTTAATTTCATACTGTGTTTAAAACACCAATAAATAACCTACACTTTAATGAATTGCTTCTTAAAAGCCAAGAAAGCTTACTTTGGAAAATACTTGGTCATATAAAATACAGTATGCTGCAGTAATATGTGCTGGCTTTGGGGAGACTGATAGGTATTAAATAAGGTCCCTTACTTGTTCACTGGACTGCATCATGAATCAGATGAAGTTACTGTATGAACCTCTGCACTCTAAAACTAGAAGTAGTTAATGATGCCTTTGTGGACCTGCAATCAATACAGGAGGATGTTAGGAGCTTACAACTACTTTTACTTTATCTGTGACTTTTCTTGCCTGAGAATTGTAATTAATAAAATCTTCAAATGAGTAAACAGGAGCTGTGGTTCTCAAAAACAAAATTCTCTTCACAAGAAGTATAAATACAGATTTTCTAGGTAAAATATGGTTACATCTGCATATGTATACTAAAACTAGTTCTAGTTGAGCTTTATAAGATCAGTATAGGCTCTTAAGTTTACTAAAGCTATAAAATAGTAGTAACAGTGCAAAACAAAACTAGCAGAAGAGTTTAGATACTGTGTAGAAGTGGTATTCTAACAATCCTTTTTTAATATTTAGGAAAGACTTGCTGCACAGCTGGTAAAGAAGGACAGCAATCTTCAAAAGTGGCGTCAAGAAAGAGATGAACTAGTAGAAGCATTGGAAGTACAGCTCAAGACTTTGGCTTCTAGCACCATACAAAAAGATAGAGAAATAGAAAGGCTGAAACAGGCCACACTGACAGCTTCAGAAAAGGTCAATTTTTCTTCTGTGTGATTTTTTGAGGTTTTTTGTTACCTATTAATTCTGCAAAATACTGTCTTTGTTCTTTGCATTCTGGCTCTATTTTTTGTTCTTAAACACTATCATATTGAAAACATTTGCAGTTAATTTAAAAATAAAAGCTTTAGGTTTGTTTGCAACTGAATTTGTAATAGTAATTGGAGTTTGAAAATATTTAGTAGCTCAAGTAAACAGTCTTGTTAATTTGGACTAGATATCTGAAACAACTCTCCCATTTGTTGTCTTTTTCATAGCACCAAGAACTTAATGAGCAAATGGAAGGTGAACTTAGAATTCTAAATAAGTATAGCAAAATAAAAATTTTGCATTATGTTTCCTCAGATTCTTACAAGACTTCTTCACTTTACATAGGGGCATTAAATTATTTGTTTTGTATTGGACACACCTGACTGGTTAAGCCTGCAGTTCTAAAACTGATATGACCAAGTAATCATAATGATGCTCATGATAATATATTACTTTCTTTCAACAGTCCTGATATTTGTGACAATTTTTGCTATGTTTATTAGGATAAGGAAACTGACATAGAAGATCTGAAACAACAGCTGGCAGAGAAAGATGACTTTATAAAGGAAATGAAACAGCAGACTAACCATGAAAATCCTCAGTCTTTGGCAGAAGTACCTTTACCTGAAGAAGGACAAGATAAAACTGATCAGTCTGTAAGCAAAGAGGTATGGTTGTTTGTGTATTAATGATACATTAATAATTCTGTTGGTTTTTTTCAGTATATGTTTCTGTATATAGTTCTGTGAATCTCCCAAAACTTCTTTGTACTTTACCTGTATCTTCAGTTCTGAGTTCTTATTCATTCTTTCACACTCACTCTCAGAAAATAAGTACTTAAATGCATATTACTTCTCTATGCATTATAGAACCTTTGTACCTGAGGCAAAAACTAGTTAACTAGTCCAAGTTATATAGATTCTGGAGATGTGTTATTTGTAGTGTCATCTCAGTTTGATTATGTCAGTGTTAAGGGGATTTCAACTCAAACCGCTTTCATGCTGTCACCTATTGTGCAGTGAGATGATTCTGTGATAAGCCAGCCCACATGTGGTTCATAAGAACAAAACATTATCTTGCATCCTACTTAAAACAAAACCAAACCAGTATTTGAAGTGCACATAAAAGGAGAAATAAATACTGTAATAGTATAATCATATGAATAATTATATCTGACTTCAGCTGTGTGCTCTTGAGAACTTACCTCGGAGTGATGCATATGAAGTGGCTGATGATTACATAAGTCATCTGAGAAAAATATATAAACCCTTTTGAAAGTGTGACCAATAGCAGGGCAGACTGGGGTTTGCTTCCTTCCACTGTAGGAAGCCTGTGTGTAGCTTTGTTAGCTAATGACACTATTCCTGGGCAACTTTATTAGTCTGCTCCATTCCTGGGAATGCAGTGCTGCTGGGATTCTGGGTTGGGATTCCCTCTCAGGAATCTCAGCAGAGCCTGTTGGAGAATCACCTTTTGGCTTTCAATGAGCTTTTATTGTTTCCCTTTTCAAGAGGAAGGAGGTTCACCCTTCAGGGTGGAACAGCTGGAATTCTCTCAAAGAGAAAGACAGCTCTCTAAAGATAAGCTACAGAAATAGTCTTTTCTCACAAAAGCTGCTATTACTGCCTAGTTCCTAAGGAGCAGCAGAGTTAAGATGGAGACAATCACTAAGGGTCTCTGCCCTTGAGGAAAAATTACTTGGAAACAAAGTATCAGGCTGAATTCAGCAAGGAAAATTCTGTGAGCATAGATACAATAAAGCTCAAAAATTAACAGAAAGTTTTTTAGATAAGGCTTAAACTCTGCTGTAGTTGATTTCTTCACTACTGTTTTAAGTTTTCTGAAAGCCAACAGCTGGAAAATGAAACACCTGCTTTGCAATCCACTGGGTGGTGAAGGGTGATATGTATTATATATAGTTTTTAACTCCTAGTTAGTTTAAAACTTGTTTTCTTCCAATTTCGATATACTTCCAGGACCATTCTGAAATTGTCCTTGACTCTACTGAAGTGTCCACAGAGGATGGAAAAACAAGTCGGTTCCCAAAACCAGAGATAGAAATCCAGTTCACACCTCTGCAACCCCGTAAGATGGAGGTGAAGCACCAGGGCAGCACCTCACCAATTACAGTTAAAATGCTCAAGCCAAGGAGGAAAAGGAAGAGTGTAGAGATGAACGAGGTGTGAACTCGACCAACTGACATAATCGGTTGTGCAGCTTTTCAGTTTATTACTCTGATAATTTATTAAAACTCTTAACTTCTTATTTTCTGCTGAGATCCCAGGGATATATGTAGGGTATTATTTAAACCCCATGTCTCCCAAGTGGTGGGACTTTGGCCTGTGTTGAATAAGGTCATAGGCTTCAGCTGATCCAGACTTTGTCTCCTTGTGTCTGATTTGCACTTTTTCTTTACGTTTTACATTTTTCCCTCCTGGACAGTGCCATTTCTTGCTGTCTCAAGCTCTGATCTGTGGGATTAAAACTCAGTTCTATAAAATCATTTCTTTTGGTTTAGGTGGTGGTTGGTATAAATCATAATTTCTTCCAATTTTCTTTAGGATTTTGTGACAAGTGAGAACAAGAGAAATGCAAAACCTGCTATGGCTGATTCACCATCTACAAGTGACAAAAAAAAGGTTTGATTTTGTTCCATTTTTAAGTCAGTTTAGCCTTTTCTGTAAAGGTAGACTTGTGAAAAGAGCAAATATTCTTGTTCAGAAGTACCTTATCTATATTTCAGCAGGATTTTTCAACATTTATGGTGTCCTTCCACTAAGCTCTATAAGCTATAAGGTCTATATTTGCCAAGAATGTGTAGTGTCCTACCTGCAGTGTGCAGTGATTCAAAGGGGAGGGATGTTGCATATTGAGTAGTTAAAAAGACTAGTTTGAGCATGTTATTGAAGTGTGGTTTTATAGGCAATGCCTTTGAAATAAAACTAAAGTTTATTTATATATATGGCAATTATAAAAAGATTATTTTAGGCCATAGTAGTAATCTGGGCAGGTTCAGAAGGTGAATGATTTATTTGCCCCATCAGATTCTTTTATTAATAATAATACAGTATTATAATTACCTTGTCTAGTAAAATACTCTACAACTTTGAATCTGCCTTTAAAAAAAATCCTCTGTTTCCTATATGACTCATGCTCTTAAATTGTATTCTGTGAAACTTCAGCAATTTTCTTTCTTCTAGGTATAAAATGAGGTTGTCTACATTACTTACTGTAGTGATATCATTACTAAATTGAACAAAAGTGTCAGTAGCAAAGCTCAGTGTGTCAGCTTGAAAATAACATTGCAGTAAAATTAAATGAAACTTCAGGATTAAGACAATTTTCAGCTTAAGCAATGATCCTGTATTTCTGTACAGACAGCTACTGCACAATCTCTTAGAAAAGAATACCCCTTAAGAAGGCAAGAATCTACCCTAAATAAAAGGTCAGCTAAGAAGAAAGATGGGACGCTACAGAAGATTGGTGATTTTTTCCAAAGTTCTCCTACTATTATTCACTCTAAAGGTTTGTACTAAGGTGTTGTTTATTCCCTATTTTCTGGTTGTTCTACAATGGCAGAGAAGAAAAGATTGTCTTGGTTGTGAGGACCACATAATTCTAAAACGTAGATAAGTGTGAAATATAAACCAAGCGGAATGAAAGATGCAGTGTGAAATATGTGCATATTTGTCATAAAAGCAATTATAATTGTTGGGCCTGAAATGTTGGAGTTACTCTGTACTTATTTACACATAAAAAGCAGTTCTACAAACTTGCCCTGCTGCTCTAAAAAGATCAAGGGCTGAATCCAGACTCCAAATCTTACCTTCTTCTATAAGCAATCCCTTGTTGCTGTGGAAACTTTGCTAATGTTTTTTGATGTACATTAATCCTATGAAATCTGAAAGCCGGTGATGAAATTATTTAGAAGACTTCATTAAACTGAATATAGAGCAATTAATGGATTTTGCTAAGTTTAGGTATAGCTTTTGGAAGATTAATTGCTTGGACTTTCCGCTGAAGGATATGTTTTTATTCTTGCCTACAGTAAGAATGATCTCCGGGTTACTGTGTTTTTAAAAAAAGAATTAAAATTAGCAGAGGGCACAAGGAATCACCAGTATTTAATTCTAAAAGACACTATTACTTGTTTAAAATAAAGTTGGTAGTTTTTTTAATGTGGACAGTTAAAATAAACTCCTGTACCAACTTGAAAGCTTGTCCTGCTACAAAGTAAATCTTAATTTATCTGACATAATACAGTCTCAATAATAACTGTGTGAAATTTCTTAACACTTCTATGTTTGGCATATTGGTTCCAGGAACACAGTATTTGTTATTATCAATGGAAGCCAAAGTCAGACTACTTAAAATTTCGTCCTTAATTTGAGCAAAGGAGTTCTGTTTTGTAACATTTCTTACCGTGTCCTGTGTAGTTTCCCTGTTTGTATAATAGTATTGCTTATTTCTTGTTTTTATTTTTTTCTAGCGCACATACTCTTCTCTTTATAGAGCTAGTACTAGTTTGATAAAACTATAAAAAGGTATAGAAAAATTTGACTGTACACTGTGCTTCTGTCAGCACAAAAGTTATGCCTGTTGTTCAACTTAGTAGTATTTAAGTGAGATCTGAATTCTAATTGATTTTTAATGTGCTGTTTAAATGTGTCCTTTAAGCTTTTGCACCTGAAGCTACAGAAAACTGCTTCCAGATACAGAAAACTGGTAGTCAAACATCGCTTCTGAATTTTTATATTTGAGCTTTGGTCTACACTGGTTTAATTTTTAAATTGTTTTAATAAAACTTGATTAATTAATTTTGAGGCTCACAAAACCATGGTATGTATTTATGATAAAATTTGTCTCCTAGCAAAGAAGCTTATTGAGACAATAAGCTCTCCCAAGTCTGCAGAACTAGAAAATGTCAAAGAAAACGAGCTCAAACCAAAACGTGCTAAGAGAAAGCTGTATTCAACAGACACTTATTGCCCTCTGGATATCCCTAGTTCCTCAGTAAGTGATTAAGATTCCGGTTTTGCCCACTGTGATGTTTTCCTGTAATCTTAAATTAAAACTATTACAGGGGAAAAGACAAATCTGAAGGTCTAATCGAATTACAGAAGAGGTTTGAAAATACTTACGTGTTTATTCTACCTAGCCATTCCTTTTGGTCTTTTCTTTCTGCTGTTCTACTTATTTTTTTGTTTTCTCACCTGTATTTCTTTGACTGCTGACTGACTGTGTAGGTGATACAGCAATCATAGAGATAACTTCACATCTGGATTCACAGATAACTTGTAGTGTGTGGAGGATTACTTTTTCTTTGCTACAGCAGTGAAGTCATAATTTGTTTTTCCAATAGTTGCAGTTCATTTAAGTGTAGCATAAAGGGAGAATAGAGACCAGTAAGGCATCCACAGATTTGGAATTACATGGTTGAAACACAATAAAGGTATGCATGTACAATTAACTTTACAGGTGAGCACCAAAGGTATTTTTCAATTCCATTTATGCCCAAGTGATATTTGGGCATAATAGCATGTGGATACATCCATGCTTTTCAAAGCATAGTCTAAATATTAGCCTTCTGGATTTGTTTTAATTCTGTGGCTCTGTCTAAGCCAGTCTGAGTCTTGCAGGCCCAGAGTTTGATGTATTGTTTCAGAAATACAGCTTTGTGGTTTAGACAGTAACTGTAGTGCTCAGCATTCTTCTGCTCTGTTGGAAGTACATCTCTTCATTCTGTTGCATCCTTTCTTCCCTGTGCTATGGTAAGCATTTTCCCATACTGTTGAATTTTCTGTAAATTGTATGAATGGATGCAGCAGGACCCAATATGTTGTCTGTAGGAAGAAGAAAATGGCAGAAGTGCTGAGCAAAATGAGCTACAAAGCTGAAAGACTGAATCCTGGGGAAGTCAGAGAAAGCTAGAGAAATTTAAGCTGAAAATGTTTTCTGGGCATTTCCTGTATCAGAAAATAAATATCCAAGACTAGAAGTGATAGCTGCATTCAGATAATATTTTTCTTTGGACTTTGGTACTCCAGCAAAAATGGGATTTTGTATGTTTATGGAATTTGTTGCTTATCATGATGCACTAAGATTATCTCTGTATCCTGGAGACCCCTGACAAAAAGAGGTAATAGAATCATAGAATTGTTAAGCTTGAAAAAGATCTCTAAGACCATTGAGCCCAACTGTTAACACAGCACCACTGGGTTAACTCCACAAAACCATATCCCCAAGGGCCACATCCACTGTTTGAACTCTTTTGAACTCTTCCAGGTATGGTGTTTACACCATTTCCCTGGCCAGCCTCTCACTGAACGCATAAGTTTCACCAGAGTGACTCAGGTCAAACTCTGGAAACAGATTCTGGGAGAAACTCTTCTGTTGGGCATGCAGGTCTAGAAGGTGAATGTAATTTGTCTCAGAAAAAATGCTGAATAACTGTCTTTTAATCCATCTTTTTCAGATCCTTGTAGAACAAAAAGAGAAAGAAAGCGATCATCTAATCATCAAGCGACGGCTGCGATCAAGAATAGCAAAATAACCTTGCAAAAGTGTGTTTATATTTCTTAGCTAGGACCTATTCCAATTTTATTATTCCAGCTCATTCTGTGTAGAAAGCCACAGATATTTAGTCATGCTTCAAAATCTGTATATAGTTGTATAGAATTGTTCTGACTCCATTAAAATTGCAAAGTTCAAAAAACCTTGTGTGTGAAACTTTCATTTACTAGGAACAGTGTCTTTGGAAGTGTTCATAACTTATTTGTTATGCAGTAACAGCTATGCCTGTGCGGAATGGTTTAAATTGCTTTTTTTCAGGCAGCCTATCTACCTTGACTTTGAGTGGAAAAATGAGATACTTGATACTTGTAGATCCTTAAATTCTTCTAAAATACTCAAAAAATAGCTTGCCTCAAGTTCAGCTCCTTTTTGGTGAATTATTATTATTATTAATATTAATATTATGGCAGTCCAGTTACAGACAAAGTAAAGGGTTCTGGAAGGAAAATAGGAGGACACTACTGCATAGAGGTCAAGCCTTTAAATCAAGGAGGAACAGTGGCACCATTTGATCAGAGAGCTGATGAAGAGATGACGACTTTCTTGAATTAAAGTGAAAAAGGGAAGAGAATATTCTTTGGAAGGTCTTTCAGTAATAGGACAGCTTTCCGCTGATCATGCAAGTATTGGAACGTGGTTGAAAGCTGCTTCGTGCTGTGAGAGGAGAAGTAAGACTGCTTGAAGCAAAGGTGGCCGCAGTGTGTGTGCAGGGCCGGGTTCGGTGCGGGCGCCGAGGAGCGCAGCCCCCGGGAGGTGGCGCCGGGACACCGCGGCACGGGGAGCCCCCCGGAGGGGCTGCTTTGTTTTAACCCACTTGCTTTGTTTTAACCCCCTTGCTTTGTTTTAACCCCCTTTGATCCCAGCTAGCCGCAAAAGAAGCTTCAGAGCGGGGCCTCAGGGCTGTATTCTCTTGCCCAAGTCCTTGCCCTCCAGGTCTTTTTCCCGGCTCCTGCCTGCCCGCGCAGCAATCGGCACAGAAGCCTGGCGCTGCTGGGGTTTGGTCAATATCCCTTAAACTACTTCTGCTCTGCCGTGTGTTGTGCCGACACGTGAAATGCGACACCAGAAATGATTGCACACTGCATGGGCTCTGCAAAACACCAAATACTAGTTCTCCCCTCAGCTACCTTTAATACTTTGGCTATAGGCAGATGAGCCAGTGGAAAGGTTCTTGGCTGGCAACACATCTCCATGCAATCTCCTACAGATTCAATTTCTTAAAGAATAGAAGCATGTGGAAGTAAGCCAACATGAGTGAGTTACTTGAGAGTGTTTGACAGGAGCCTTAAAAGCAGCTGACAGTAGAACACAATTTTATTTTCTGAAGAGAGTCACAGTTGCTGTACAAATTAGTTTTTCCTTGCTCATAGACTTGTGATATCAAGGTTTGTGTTCTGAGGGAAAAGGAATGGTGGAAAAAAAGAGAGAAGTTATATATTTATATTTAAATACCTCATTTGGTTTAACTGCTTGGTGTTAATCAGACACTTCTGCGTGCAGATGCCAATACAGAAGTTAGTACTGATCTCGAGAGGGATCACAGAATCACGTTCCCAGGAGAGACAGGCAGCTACCACACAAGTACTAAACCAAGGAATTTATAGAAGCAGATGCATTTGAAATTAGCCATACCGGAGTTTTTTTAACCTGTTCAATGTATAATAGTTACAATATTAACACTGTTTGAACTTCATGAGAAACCAGTTTCAGAAGTTTGGATACTGTAAGAGTATTCAAATCATCAGTGTTTTATTCCACTGCAAAAGGTGTGTGCTACATCTATCCTGTATTACTCACTTAGATTTGGGTTTTAGGATAGCACTGAAAAGAGGGGGAAAAAAAATACATGGGAGGAAAAAGTATCTAGAAAAAAAAGAATCTAATCAGATAAAAGCTGTCATCTCCTTCCTGTGTTAATGAGACCTGGACAAATGCTTCCAGTAGACAGCAGTGTGACTCAGGACCAGATTGCAAAATCAAACACTGTAACTTGAAGTGATCACAATGCTATTGAAACTGACTCTGATTAACTGCACTCTGTGAATTGCTTAAGCTGATTTTTCTATTCCAGAGATCTGAAAGTTATTGACAATGTGACATTGGAGGCAGGGGCATAGTAGTGAACAATCTAGAACAAGACATGCTAGTTTGGTTTCATCTATATCTAATATTTATATGTGATTATATCACAGAAGAGGTTTGTTTGTGTTTTTTGGTAACAGCATTTGCAACAGGAAAACAGCCCAATTACTTGTTTCCACTGTATGACACCTGTCCTCCCTCAACAGTGTATTTACTTGTGCTCTGCTGCTACAAAATTGACCTTTTAAAAAGGTCAGCGTTTGGCGATTATCAGACTTACTTGTGTACATTTTCACAATGCACAACTGGCAGGGAAGATAAGTTCCTCCACTTAAAAGAGTAATTGAACATTTAACACAGTAGTTTTATCAGTTTGATACCTCTCTTAACTGCTGTGACAATAGGGTATCATACAAAGTTATTGGCAATTTTTTGAGATACCGTGTTGTCAGTGAGTTTCATCGGGGCTGAATCTTTGTGAGGTGATGAGGGTAAGAGACATTATTACTATACATATGCATTTCACCGCTGCACTTTTGTTAGCACAAGTTCCTAGCAAATAAAAGTATTGGCTCCTCTCTCTCCAGCCCTCTGGGCTGCTGCAGTGCTCTGCCAGAGCCAGGCTGTGGACACTGCCAAGTAGTTGGCTGAGGAACAGATAAACTGGGGCTGGCTTGCCATTTCTACAAAGCCTCTGAGCTCACTATTGCATTATGATAAGTGGAATAAAATTACCTGCATTTACTTCCAGATACATCAGCCTTTTAACATTCAACATGATGTTTCTTTTCAGGTTTTGATTAATTATTTAGACCATGATTTCATTGGAACTGAGATTTTTGCATCTAAATGTAAGAAGTGTTTGAAGGTCTCAGGCTTTGCTCAACACATATGAAGTCACAACTTTCTTCTCTGAAAGAAATAACTACAATCACAGTCCAAGTCTTTCCTTATCGGAAGAAACTTTTTATGATCATCTCTGAGAAAGGAGGTTTCAGTGATTGTTGAGATGCTGCTGCACAGGTTGACATTCTCCTTTCCTCCCCCAAGAAGCTCTGGCTTAATCACCACGATGATTTGGATATGTTTTATCTCTTTCTATTTGGGATTTAAGAGCTTCATGGGGAAGAGACATTTTGAGAAGAGATAAAAAGATCCATGCCTTTACTCTCTACAGAAGGACCATGCTTCTGTAATAGGGAGGTCTTTGAAAAGTGGCTTTGAAGGAATCTTATGCTTTGAGCATTTCTGGGTTTTGAAATAGAGGCAATGACTGAATTCCTGAGGAAAGTGGTTTTACAGAGACACCTCTGTGCCACAGGTAATTGAGAAAGTAACTTATTCCTCTTTTGGCAGGGAGGGATGTCACTACCCCATATCTGATAGTATTAAATGTGATGCTCATGTGGGTACTTGAATAAGACGTGATCCTCTTTGGGAAAGAACACAGCTGTGCCTGTTGAATGCTTCACTTGTTAAAGTGTTTCTGTCTTTCCTTAATTGGGATGAGAAGTCAGGAGAAAGACTCTATCTTTTAATCACCCATTTAAGTTTTCTGGCTCTGAAGTGTGAATCACCCAGCATTCCACCAAGATACAGTCTTGGACTAGTTGCCTTATGTGATTCAAAGAATAATTTTGAAATTGGGGAAGTGAAGGCTTTGTGGAAACTCTGTGAGCAAGATGTTCTGGATGTCTTTCTTTCCAAGTGGTTTATCCAGCTAAAACATATCCAAAAAATAAATCTGAATGATCCTTGTTTTCCAAACAACAATTTCAACTGTTTTCAGAAATAAATTTTTGGAGCTATTGCTTTGAGCTTAATTTATTTCATCTTTTTAAGCATACAATGTCCATATATGAAATACCACGTGGTATTTATTTCCAGTAGCATCTATTGATAATGGCAAGATGATCAGATAGATATTTTCATCACTAATATTGACTGTTAAACTTGCTTATGAAAAAACACCCACTGAAATGCTGACTCCTGCAGACACTGCTCAGGCAAAGCTGGAACACTGAGTTTCCAGCAGGAAATCACTTGGACAGTCTCATACAAAGTAAGTTTTCTCTTCCTTGTGGATTAAATTTAATAAACATACTCAGACTCTAGTGATGCAAATAAGTAATAAAAAATTAAATAGCAAGTACAGTCAGTCTCTTTGATTCTCATGACAGCTTTTGAAAGAAAAATCCTGGAGTTGAATTTCCCTTAAGGGAAATTTTCTTGTTTACTAATGCAATAAACATAACTGATGAAAGAAATATCTGTTATACAGATATTGCCAAAATACAAAGTTCTTCGTAAGTTAAATATTTCAGTCTTGTGGGAGGTAGAAATCTGTGTTCCAGTAAAATATATGCAAACCATATTTGCTTATCATTTGTGATTTACAGGAATTAAATGTCCTGCTTGATTCAAACACATTTATAGTATTTAATCCCCAAAGATGTTGAAATAATCATTTTTAGTTACAAAGGAAGTTTCAAAAAGTTGAGTAAAATTACCTTCCTCACCTCCTCATTGCTTAGCATTATAGCCACTAGGGAAAATGTAAATTAAAGCAGTCACAGCATCGTCAGCACCTGAAGTTTTTCCAGGTGCACCTTTGGTTCATGAGATCACAGGGCTGAGTTTGGAGCCCCAGAGGGGCCAGTCCCTGTTCAGCCAGGCTGTGGCTGTACTGCTGAGCTTGTGCCTCTGAGCAGGGCTGCACCCCTGAGCCTGGCCAAGCTGAGGAGTGACAGGGCTGGGCTGTGGCTTCAGGTGGTGCAGGGCTCCCACCACACAGACCTCAGCCTGGGCTAATGGGTCCTGACCAGCACCTGAAACTGCTGCAGAGGCTGGCTCACTCCATGCTCAGGTGGTTCTGCTCTTGTAGATGCCTATAAAGTGCTGAAGTTGTGCCTTCTTGAGAGCAAACAAGTCTCAGTGGACATCTTCTCTACCCTTCCTTCTTTTCCTCTCTTGCTCTTTTTCTAATGTCACAGCTTGTGAAACAGAGGCAGCCTTATTCCACTATTTAGCTGTTCTCTTATAAAAAATTATGTTCTTTAT